TTGCAAAAATGAGCAAATGCATGTCACATAAATAAGATGAATGAAAGGATTGTAATTGCAAAAGCCATTCATTTGAAAAAGAGATTCCAAGTTCCATCCATTGTCCATCTTGTGAGGTTTCTTCATGCTTATCAAATGACAAAATTGTTTTAACAAGTAACTCAGTAAAGACAGGAAATCTGTTAAAAATTAGAAATTTATGATAATTCTTTTTTTTACCATATTATTTTAATATGTGTGTCATTAACGTTGAATTACACGCAATCACATCTTACAAATCTTATTTCAGTTCACAAATTTTAGATGGATTTTTGGAATGGCAACCAAGATATGCAAAATAAAAAAAGATTAATTCATTTTTAAAAATTTCTCTCAGGATTTTGTTGTTCACAATTTGTTTACGTCATCTATTAGATGATATATCCGTAGTGATTGCAGCATTTTAAAATTGCTATATACTTGAAATGAAATGGTGTATGGATATTGCAGTTCTGATGATTTCTTCAGAGTATATTCAGAATTTTTTATTTCAGCATCCACTGTGTAAAATTTTAGCAAGAATATTGAAAAGTATTGAAAAAAGTTGATGAAATTTTTGCACTAATTTGACCTTTAACCTCCTAAAAATAGTGTTAATGAGGTCAAACTTTAGGACAATTTATCTGCTGTATATCCCTTTTAATTTTATGACCTCATATCTGACTTTAAAATGTTATGGAATGCATGAACGTGTCTAGGATGAGCAAAAAACGAAAATTACTGTCCGAAAATTGAAAAATACCCCGTTGCTAAGCAACCCCTTTAAAGTCATTATATGCAGAATTGAAAAAAAAAGTTTATGTAATTCATGTAGTACAGTATAATGCTCTTTTTGTGAGTATATTCCAAATTTCCTATTTCAACATACATCATTGTTAATTTTTAGCTTGAAGATAAAAAAGTAATGAAAAATTCCATAAAATTTTGCACTTATTTGACTTTGACCTCCATTTCTACTAATAAGCTCAGTCGTTGGGTATCTGAATAGTCATGAAATATCATCTCTAAGAAATTCCCTACAAAATGGTATGCATTATGCCTAGCTTTCTCCTTGGATAAAAAGGTTAGAAATAATTTGATAATGCTATGTCAAAAGGTCTCCAAAATCACGTAAAATGTGCCGGTAGAGAAAGGGTTAAGGAATATTTGTCAATTAATAGCAGATCGTAAGTGCCTAGAATAGCTTTCAATCGGAAATTATTGATATCCTGCTAGGTCAATTATTCTCCAAGAGATGAGAACGTAAAATGAAAATTCCACCTAAAAAATTATAAATACTCTTATTTTATCGAATAAAAAAAAATAATGTGACCAAGTCATATACCTTTTTTTTTCTCTACCTCAAAGGATCCAGCACGTGATGAGGAAAACGTACAGACATTGCTTTCTCTGCTGGCTAAAACAAGAAAAGAAATATAAAATTTTCAGAAAATGCCAGTTTTTGGTTTTAAAAATATTTTTCACCTTCCCTCTAGTCTTCATAAGAGCTTTGATATTGAAAAAAAAAAAAAAAAAAAAAAAAAAAAAAAAAAAAAAATTAAATATTTTTTTCTATACACAAAATGTTATTATTTGTAATTTTAATTAGTTCATGAACAATAAACTACAACGGTTCTCCATGAGCTGATTTACTGTGTCGGCCTGACACAGTAACGATTCAAATTTTATGCTTGAGACACAGTAAAAAAATTGAGACACAGTAAGATCTCTGATAACCAGAAAATCAGAATAGAAATTCTTTCTAACTGGAACTTTAATTAAACAAGTCTACCGTCTTTCAATTTTTAAGGCAGAGCACTTAATTATCTCTTAATTAGGGCACTTTGTCTTGCTTCACCTTGCATAATCAATGAAATCATAGACCCTCGCTGGACTTTACGCATGAAGGAACAAAGTAAAATTTCAAATGAAGGAGAACACTGAACTACATCAAAACTTACTATTACATGCTTTTTGTCGGTTGTGAATCCCATATAGCAAGGTTAAAGAAAGTCACTAATTACTTTTGTTTGTTTGTTTGTGTGTTGTTTAATGTCCCTCTCGAGAATTTTTCACTCATATGGAGACGCCACCACTTGCCGGTGGAGAGCTGCAAATTTTGTCCTATGCTCGGCACTTACGGCAATTGAGCAGTGAGGGATCTTTATCGTGCCAGCACCTACTGCGACACTGGACCTCGATTTATACGGTCTCATCCGAAGGACCGGTCTCCACGTCCCACAGTTGGATTCAAACCCGCGACGTAAGGAGCAAGTCCTTGCTTTGCAACTCTAGAGCAGACGCTCTAACCACTACGCCATGCGGGCAAGTCACTAATTGCATTGCAATTATCAATGTGACGTCATAGTGTAAAATTTGAGGCAGCTTATATGCCGTGAGAGGCGGATCAAGTTATATTTTCACACTGGAAAATGTATTTTATTATTGAATAAATCATAATTTGCAAATATCCAAGGGCTATTGATTTGATTGCAATGTATTTTCTGTGATTTTATTCATATATCTTCCGTACAATCCCTAATAAAGTGTCTTATTTGTCTGCAGAGAGATTGAAAGGTAGTAGAGGGGTTTTAATAAATCATCATATTGCAAGGGCATAGACTCAATGGATCAGGATAAGGTTTTACACATAAACTCAAGAAGTAGTAAGCTATTTAAAAACGTGCTGCGATCCTGATGAAATTCTGCAAATGGTTTAATTATTCCTGTATCCAATGCAGTTGATGAGCAAAAAATTCAGTACGAGGTGTTACAACTATAATTTTAACAACTAAATGCATTGACTTATTATTGTTTTTCGTCTTTTGTGAGTATTTTTTACTCATAGACACGTCGCATATACCGATAAAGAGCGTCAAATTTAGATATTTTCTCGGAATTCAGAGCCATTGAGCAATGAGGGTTCTTCATCATACCAAAGCCTACTAGTATCGTGACATGGAACTTCGATTTCAAGGGCTTATCCGAAAGACCCGTGACTTTCACTTCTAGTGCCAGGCGCTTGGCGAAGGAACAATCTCTACCTATGTTTACGTCTTAGATTTTAGCGGGTCCGGGAACGAGAATCGAACCCGATACCTCCCGATTACGAAGTGAGTGCTCTACTACTAAGCTACTGCGACAAGTAGCAACTAAAAAGGAGAAACAATTAATAGAAAAGTCTACACAACATCGCTGCACTTTTCATAAACTTCAACTATGTTAAAATATTTATAAACTGAAAATAGAATTTTAACTTGGTTATTACCTAGCAATATTGATTTTTTTTGTTTAGTTTACATGAACCTTAATTGCTAAAATCACGTGACGCAACATCAAGTGACAAGCCTAAATTAAAAAAAAAAAAAAAGAATCTAATGGTCTTCAATATGTAGTTTGAAGCAATATTTTATTTGTTCAATATTAGTAATTAAAAAAAAGAAGAATCGCCCATCCTGAAGAAATATGTATTTCTTATCTCAAAAAAAAAAAAAAAAAAAAAAAAAAAAAAAAAAAAAATCGCAGAAATTTCAACTGTATTGCGTAACAATGTACAGTTTTCATAGTTGTAAATAAATATTTTCTAACTGTAAACATGTCACATGTCTAACAGGTGACGCAAATGACGTTGTTCTGAAACCTGATATAATAGATGCTGAAAGCAGAAATCCCATTCATACATCATCATACTTTTTGAAGCAATATCATTATTATTATATACGAAGACTGTCCGGAAATTATTGTGACATTTACTTTTACTCCATTAAGGAAAGAGATAAATGTATGAAAATTCGCCAATCTTTTATTAAGAATAAATGAAACGTATGTGCACAATTTAATAGGATCATGACATAAGTCCCGGTGAAACTTTAAACTTGCATACGTCCATTGATCTGGAGCAGCATAACTACGTCATTTTAACGTCACGTCAGCCGTAATTTTTTTCTCTCATTTGAAACAATCGGGAAGGGTAAGCCTTTTTCTGTTATCACTTATATACAGTAACAATCTCTAAATCAAACTCCCTCTTTTCTTAAACAATTCTTGTAAAAATAAAATGTGTGTTGTTACAACTTCAATGTAAAATTACATGACGTGATAGATACAGTATGATTAGAATCATGCAGAACCGAATTTTGCACTGCAGTTCAACGTTATTTTTTCTAGGTATGCTCGCTGTCCGCCTTGACTCAAAATCCATTTTGTCATCGTAATTACATTTCTACAATGTTATGAAAATCATTAATGATCTCCATATTTCGGGTCTAAGTTCTATCAAATTTTTATCAACTGAACACAAAATTAAATTGAAAAATTACATATATAATTTAAATATTTTTCCCACTTAGAGGGGGTCCACCTGAACTTAGAACTTACGTAGTAATTACTGATTTTCATTATCTGATTTCGCGACAGCGCCGGGAATCCCTACCGGCGACTCATTGATATACCATAAAAAGGACAAAAAAAAAAATTAATATTTCTTTGAAATATTTCTTACTTCTATTTATCGGTAGTGTATACATGTATGTAGTTATATGCCAATTTTCAACAAATGATGTTCATTAGAATGTAGAATAAACACAATGTCTCAATCATTTCCGAACAGCCCTCATATATATTGTACATATTTTCTTAAAATATTTTCGAGAAATGTTTTCTTAAAACATATTAATAAGGGTGAGTCGTATAATAAATATTCAACACGGTATATATTGGGTAAGAATTGTTATGCTAATGGTTTATTACAAACTAATTGAGTATTTAAGAAAATAAAAACAGTCAATTAATATAATCCCAAGAAAACATATTAATGATAAACTATTCAAATAAATTCGTAAAATTTCAGCATTCTAATAACACAATGAAATATTCAACATCATGTCATGTACATTGTAAAAATCTTAAACACAGAATAATATTCATATATCAAAGATCTTCACAAATAAAGGTGTTCTTTTTTGCACACTGTGCATCCTCCCAGTTTCCACTGCGACAAAAACGGACACAATGTCCCATATTAACATTATCAGGCTGGCCCGGATACCAGTTTGAATACGTGATATTGGTGAGGTGATTCCAAGTGAAAACCCCTTCTATCTCCATATCTGTTGCGCCAATCCAACATTTGCAGCAATCCGACCTTTTGGAGCAGTCAACTATAAAGAAGAACAGATCTCTCAGACCTGCGAAAGAGGAGCCACTCACCTCTCACCAGAGCCAATTTGTTATCGCCAATAACCCTTGTTCTGACTTTGGTAACTTTAATTGATATAACACATCGATGGAAGAGTATCATATTGACAATCGTAGAGAGAGAGAGAGAGAGAGCTTGCTTTGTAAAGACTTTTCCTTGGCATGAGCGTACAATGTAGAACCAGTGAAGAATGGTTTTAGAAAAATTAAATTAAGAGGTCATGAAACTGCTGGATTATTTCGTAGTCGTATATAAAAACCTATTGCTATGACATGTCAGAGGTTGCAATATTCATTTTTTTTTCAATTTTTAGTGTATAATTTTCCATATGCATTGTATAATTTCCATTTGTATTCTATAATTAACCATTTTTAAAAATAATTTTAATCGGATTGTAGAATATTCTATAGCAGTTGTATAATTTTCATTTTGTTTTGTTTATTTTTCCATTCATAGTGTATAGCTTTCCATTTGTATTGTATACTTTTTCATTTGTATTATATAGCTTTCTGTTGGCATTGTAAAATTTCCCATTTGTATAGTGTAATTTTTCCATTTATGTTGTATAACTCTCCATTCGTATTTTTAAAGTTTTTTTTAGCATTATATAATTTTCTTTTTGTAATGTATAATTTTCCTTTTATATTTTTTAACTTTTCATTTGAATTATATAACTTTCAATTTGCTTTGTATAATTTCCATTTGTATTCTCTAATTTTCCATTTGTTATCTATAATTTTCATTCTTATTGATTATAATTATTTCTATTTGTATTGTATAATTTTCCAGTTGCAGTGTATAACTTCCATTTATACTGCATAGTTTCCATTTATATTGTATAACATTGCATTTGCATTATATATCTTTCCATTTGCGCCTTATTACTTTCCATTTGTAATATATAATTTTCCATTTGAATTACACAAATTTGCATTTGAATCGTATAATTTTCTATTTGTATTGTATAACATTATATTTGTATTTTATAAATTTCTATTTGTATTGTTTAACTTTCCATTTGTATTGTACAATTTTTAATTTGTATCGCGTATTTTTCCATTTATATTGTATAATTTTCCATTTTCGTTGTTTACTTTCCAGATAGAAAAAAGGCTAATGTAAAATTATATAATACAAATGGAAAATATAGAATATTGCAATGTTTGACATGCCATATATTGCTTTTACGATAGTTTATATTACTTCCCTAAGTTTACCTATGTACACAGTTTTTTTGTGCGTGTGTGTGTGCCTAGCTTAGCTCTAGAGGATATAACTCAAGGAAATATGTCATTATATAACATGAGAGGGGAGGAGTTTTTTTTTTTACTTAATTAGCATTGTTTCTTCTCAGCTGAGTTATTATCAATTAGAATTGTATATGTGTAATACATATATCATTTAATTTCTATAAAATAATTCATTCTGATTGGATAAAAAATTCTTTTGATAACTGCATCAATAGACTGTTTCACGATAACTGCGGCACTGCTCTTTTGCGGGGCAAAATGGTATATTTTGGTGAAATATGACGTAAAAGTAATTGTTTAATATACGTCATTTAATTATCTGTCATCAAAAACTTCGCCAAATATTGTTATTTTGCCCTGCAAAAGATTAGTACCGCAGTTATCGTGAAAGGGTTAATAGAATTTGGAGTTCACTTGCACTTGACAGCCGGAACTACTTTGGCTGTCTTTACATATATATTTCCCGCTTCCAGAAGTTCATGAAGGAACAATTGAATACTTTTTCTCTAATAGATATTTTCCTGAATTTCGAAACTTGTCCGTTACGTTCCTGACTTATTTTCTACTTTCGATTCTTTTTTAATTATCCCCCTTTGCTAAACAAATGAGATCGTCTGCATGGCAACACTACAGTAATGGGAAAGAAAGAAATCAGGATACCTATGTTAAATGTTTCACTTTGAGATAACTGGTACAAACAATAGAACTGTGAAGAAATGTTTTTATGCTACCAAAGCGGGGAAATGCCGTTAATCTGTTAATTCTTAGGAATCGAATGATCGAGAAAAACGACACTGCATGAATGAGGACGGAATTCTTTCAAACTTAAACAGTAGGCAACAGATTCTTTCAGATTTTACAGCATGGACAGGTTGTGATACATATTTATATGTTCGGTTTGAAATTCAGATGAAGAGATACGCAAATGAAATCCAAAATTTCTGTGACCTATAGAAAGAGTTGTTAGGATGTCTGAGAAGCATCCCTTTGAATTTACGAACCTAGATAGCTTACCTGGGAAAATATACCCATTGGGATATAGCAAAAAATTAATAACACAACAGGTAAGTTTTTTGTGTTAAAGAACTGTTAATTATTGTTAGAAAAGGTTGGTAGTGACACGACAATATTTGAGAACGTTGTTTCTTCGTTAGGCCTATAGCCATTTTGAATTTCAGCAACATTGTTGTGATATATTCCTACGCACTGTTTTTGATGCGTAAATTTTATAGTAAACTGAAGGAAAGTTTCATTTTATTATTCTAAAATCATGATTAAATGATAAGAAATGAAAGTAATATTTTTTCTTTGACAGACGTGTCAAAGAAAAAAAATTGGCCAGAAAACGTTTTCATCAATGCGCTACGCGCACTGATGACGTTTTTCGTCCATTTTTTTCTTTGATACGTCGGTCAAAGAAAAAAAAAATTACATTCATTTCTTAATTACTATCATTCGGACATTCTTATTTTCCACTCTTCAAAAATAGCATGGTTCAACAAATAAATGAAAAACCGAACTTTGTTTAAGAATGAAATGTTGCAGGTTCAATTGACATTTTACGGTGGATCTTTAGAAGAAGTCTAATGCTTGTAAAATTAACAGACAACTAAAAAAAAATGAACAACCTTTGATCTGAAAAGCTAAGAAAGCTTAAAACACATTTACATTTATATCAATTACCTAAAATTAAAACAATAATAAAGCTCAAAAATCAATTGTTACTTATTCACCAATTACCTGGACAAAAAAAAATCGAATGTATTTAAATTATATCAAGTTGATTAGAAATTCAAGTTTAGTATATACATGTAATAGGCGTGACGTCAGATGAGATTTTGATGCAATGAATTAGCACTACATTCAATGACATTTCTATATCATTTGTTTCTTTCTCCATTATTTATTTCCCCATTGTTTTTTTTAATATTATATAATACATGTATTGGCAACTACTGTAAGCGTTAAAATGATGCATCAGAATTTAATTTACCAGCAATCAAGTCATCTTACCAGCATTCCAGGGCGGTAGAAAGGTTTCCATGGCCCAGGTATTTTCCACGTGAGAATCTATCTCAATAAGATGAGTTCCATGGTTTTCACATTGAACCTTTAATACATTCATTTCATCTTTTCATATATATGTTAATGAAAATTGAAGTTGAAAGATATTGTTATTTTTATGTGAATATAGATTAAAATACATTTTGAATTATGACATAAAAGCTAGAGCTATCAGTCTTTCCACGTTACAGAATTATGTAATAAAATTGAACGATCTTACAAGTCGCACAGAGCACAGAAGAAATGAGAAAGATACTGCATCTGCATTGGTCTTACATGCAAACAAAATCTCATTATTCGATATGGGTTTGTTATATGTTTTCTTCCAATATTTTTTTTTTTTGGAAACTGATGATAACCTCTTGAGATAGACGAAAGTGGATGAAGACTAAGATAACAATCCAGTATACATTAAAATCGTGAGCTGCAGTTTTCAAAATTGAATATTGAGAACAGACAGAATACAGAAAGAAACATGATAGTAAGGTTGAAGGAAAAAGTACTACGCAAACCATGTAAAAAGTTAATTACAATTGATTATGTTGGAGCATGTAATGTAGGTCATTCTGACCCTAGTCAAGAAATTATTTGGACAATTATTTAACTCTCTCTCTCTCTCTTCTGTGTCAAATAATTTATTACATAAAACAATATCAAATGAAACAATCGTAGGCAGATTATGAAACATAATGGGTAGTGTCCCATGGTTGTACAGTGTATATATTTTATTAATATTACTCGAACAATTTGCCTGCAGTATAACTTTTAGCTCCCTTGTCAGAATAGAAATAAAATAATTGAATATTTTACCTTGGCTTCGTTCCAATTAAGAAAGGTCTCATTGAAGAAATAACAGTGGTTTTCAAAAGGAACCCAGCCAACAGAGCAAACTGAAAAAAAGTAATGTATTATAAATTTCTGGTGTAAAGGAAAGTGAACTTTAGTCCCATTTTCCTGTCATTTTCATTTTTTTAGCATTTCTCCCACTAGCAACTACGCGAAGAGACGCTATGTGATCTGAATCAGTATTGCATCCAAATTCATTGGAGTTATAACTATTATTTTTTAACTTCATAGGTCTTTGTGCTTTTTGAAATGTCGAGGAACCGTCTATGAGATTGATAAACCAGACATATTTCTTCAGGAACTTACTAACAAAACGTATTATTATTATTATTATTATAATTTTATTATTATTATTATGTTAGTATTTTAATAATATCTCTTCCTCTTATGTTAATGATAACTTTACTTTTGTATGAATTTTACATTTTTTTTTTCAATTTTTGTACATGAGAGAATCTTTTTCAGTATCTCAAATAATGTTCAGCGCCTCAGAGTAATGAATATTTATGTGAGACGCTTTATAAATGTTTAGTTATTAAATCTATTCATCAAGCATGTAAACAGTCTAAATTTTGTTACTCATCTACAGAAATATAGACGGCAGGCACGTGACGTTCGTTATTCAATGACAGCACGTCATTCTATTACAAGGCTAATTAAAGGTGTTTTTTTTTAATCTAGAAAGTTTATTTGATCAACTTACGCATCAAAAAAGATAACAGTCATTTCAAAAACATACCATCATTCTGAAACCAGTATTCCCATCCGTCATCAATACGATCCCTGTCTACAATTCGTTCAATAAGATGACACTTCAAGAGTTTGCAGGACAGCAGGTGCCCGTTGTACAGAAAAGCCCTACACTGAGATCCTTGCAGCTTGCACTGCACAGCGCATTCCGTGCGACTAATGTTTCCGAAAGTATCAACGTAATACAATGTATGTAATGGTAAAAGATTGTCAAACAAGAAATTTCTCGTCAATATCATTTCACATAAATGGACAAGGAATAATCTAAATATTGAACTAATAAATAAGAGTCTAGTGACCATATCACCTTTCCGCATCATTATTCGTAAATTTCACAGGTACTTCTATTAAAACAGAACACAATACAGACAGTAAACAGTTGCTTTTATGTCACTTAAAGAGCAGGCAGATTATCAATGAAGAGGAAAACGAATTTCTATTTCCCCAAGAGATGTCTGTGATTAATGACTGACAGCCGATGTGACTTAAAATTTACTTTACAGGCAGTATTCTGTGTTTTACATATTGGATTTCGTAATGCTTTATTAAGTAACTTCAAAGGAACAGTAACATCAAATATTCAAACATCCGTATCATCAAAACGGTGCATCCTTCATTAGCGGATGTGAATTAACTGTTGTAAGTTCTTATACTATGTTTTGATTTCCATGTCTACCTATTTATTTTTATGACAGGAAGGAGTCCATCTTTAATCCGTTGGTATCTTAAGGAAAGGTCAATATTTTTCTGGGGTTTTTTTTGTAATCAGATAAGCCTGTCATGCATCTTCATTTGAGAATTAAAGTCGCTCTTTCATCCGTTTTTTTTCCCAATATTTTCAAACACTTAGTTTACGCTTGACAGATGTTAAAAAATTGTGTTTCCTTCGATGAAAATTAATCGGAATATTATGAATGAATTGGGAAAAAAAGTCCGCCCGCAGAAATTTTAGAATCTGTTTCCGTGCAAACTGAGGCTCGAGTCAGGGTTCTCCATCATTTCAGATTTAACGGTGGCGCAAGACTTCCGCGATGTGCTAATATTCGGGGTCATTTCGCGACCGAATTTGAGAAGGGACCACGAAATAAATTGACCCCCCCCCCCCATGAATCAATAGTTTAATACACAAATCAATTAATGGCATTAACTAATTGGAAAAAATGATTGATGAATAAAAACAATTTATCAATAAAACATAGTGTAAAACAAAAATTAGGATGTCTCGGAAATATATGTTTACTGTGACAAAAGACCCCCCCCCCCCTCCAAACACATACATACTTATAAATAAACAAATATTAGCTTATAGCATCTGAAAATACACGTTATAGTACAAGTGATTACAACTTTCTAGCATTTAACTCTAATTAAAAAAAATATATTATTTACCAGTCGTGTTCATTAAAGGACAGACGAAATTCTGGTGGGTCTGGTGGTCATCAGTCATATTTACATCTAGTCTATATATTTGCAATTATTAGTCTGAAGTATCTTAAACTTGTATATTTTGGTGGATGTATTCATTATTTGTTAATTTTTCAACATTACAAAATTACATGAATATTTACGATCGATACACGTACGATGTTTTGACTCGTAGTGTCAATGCAATTTTAGAAACTTAATGTAGTTATCTGTAAAACTATATAAGCAATGAATTAATTGGTATTTCAAAATTCAGTTGTAGTTATCGTGAAGTGTGAAAAAAGGCTTGTCGCTTTTCATTCATGTGTCTAACGAGGTCTGGATGATAATTAATTGTAAAAGCCAAACAGTGGATCCTAATTAGAGCACATTAACAGTAAAGTACTAGAAACTAAAACACGCCTTTACGGTACATAATTAAGAGTTTTGATTAAGTTTATTTTATAAATAAATTTATATATTCATCTTACTGACGACGACGATCTTACTGTGGCGCTAATATTTTAACTGTGGCGGAATTGTGGCGCTGATTTTTTTAACTGTGGCGCTAGAGAATTTTTACTTTGGCGGGGCCGCCACATTAAACGGCCCATGGAGAGCTCTGCTCGAGTCAATTTTGACCCTCAGTTAATTAACTTATAATTTAATGAAAATAAATCCTTCATAACAAATAAATAAAATTCAAACACAGGTAAACATAATAGCCCTGATGTGAATAAATTCCGTGTGACGAATTGCGTCAGCTTACAGCAATGTTTGTGCTGTCGGTAAGAAAAGATGACAGGCAAGTACATAAACAGAATTATTGACAGTGAAGACGGTTCGTTTCGTTTGACCTGCGACGCTCTTAAACCAAAACAAAACATGTGAAAAATCAATGGGGCAAAGGCAATATACCAAGCACAAATTAGGCAATATCATATACAGAAGTAAACGTATTGTATCAAAAGAAAATCCTTTGCAAAGAGAACCCCGAGCCCCCCCCCCCCCCCTTGTAAAACTCTCTTGTTAAACAATTCTATTCATTTCGGACTACGATGAGTAACCAAACAGCATGAATTACGCATTAGAGATTTCAAACTTAAAACATCATCGGATTGGAACGAATATTTATAGTAAAAAGAAAGGCAAATCAGATCACGAACAGACGACGATACTGATGACATACGCCAGGTCAAACATGAAACCTTTTCTTCTGGGCGTGCAAGAGATCCCAATCTTACAAACTATATGTGGTCAAAGGTCTCTTGATTTTCTTTGAATGAAGACCCTCTTATCTATCAGCGTACCATTCCATTTATAACAATAAGATGGGGACAAAAAAGCTCGCTTCTTTTATGTGAGGCAAACTTGCAAATATCTTGACAAAAAAATCTTGAAGTACAATTCCAGTACCGAAAATCAACAGAGAAAATACTCACATACGCAGCTAAGTTAAGACTGTCCGAGGCATTACTTTGCATTCAAAAAATCATCACACATTTTCAGCTCGGTTTTGATTATTTATCTGTAGACTATGAATGTAAATACAGACAATTTGCACAAAGGGATCTCTCAACTACATTTCAACACATTTGTTGAGATATCACATGACCCAGGTGATCACGTGACTGCCAACATAATTTATTTAACTCTAGAGTTGAAGTTTTTGTCCCCCGCTTTCACTGAAAGTGGTGGATATTAATTTGGGTCTGTCAGTCCGTCCGTCCGTCCGTCTGTATTTCTGTCGTCTGTAACAATTTCGTTTCCGCGCGACATCTCAAGAACCCTTTGAGCTTTCGCAATGAAATTTTGCATAGCAACTCCCTATGGCCTAAAGGAGAAGGCTGTTGACTTTAAGGTCAAAAGGTTAAAGGTCAAGGTCATAAATGCATAAATTCTGTCTGTTTTAACACTTTCCTTTCCGCGCGATATCTCGAGAATCCTTTGAGCTTTTCCAATGAAATTTTACATAAAACTTCCTGTGGCCTAAGACAGATCCCTATTGATTTTGAAGTCAAAAGGTCAAAGTTCAAGATCGTAAATTCATACATTCTGTCTGCTTGTAACACTTTCGTTTCCGGGCGATATCTCCAGAGGCTTTTGAGCTTTTGCAATGAAATTTTATACCATAACTCCCTATTGCCTCTCTCGCCCCTCTCAAAGTGTCCCCCGTTTTTGTTTTTTATAATATTTAGTGTATTAAAAGTCGCTTGGCACTATTTTTAGCACAGGGGCATGTGGGGAGATATTATATAAAATGCAGGTTGTCGTCGGACTTTATATGCTAATTACATCTATTAGAACTGTTTAGTGTAGGCTAAATTTGACACCATGTATTGTGTAAAATTTTGACAATATCGAAACATGATATATGACCTAATGTTTGCATTTATTTGATGTACATGTATTATCCAGTGCCTCTGTGGTCTAGGGGTTTGATTTTTGCTTGGCAAGTGAGGGGTCCCGGGTTCAATTCCCGGACGATCCCTTTTTTTAAATGTTTGTTGGGGGGGGGGGGTGTTACTAATTGATAGTATTCAACATATGAAATAAAAAAGTTATGACGTCTGGCGTGTACAAACTCATAAAATCATTATTACAGTGTGATATATTCTATATAAAAAGTATCTTCTATACACATATTAAAAAATAAGCAATCAAATCTCCATATCCATATTGACATATTTTATTTGATTCAATAAACATTAATTTATACATATAATAATTCTGCAAATCCGGGAGGTGCCCCCCCCCTCTAGAACTGCGCATGCTCTTCTTTTTTCCCCTAAGCGGTGGGCACAAATTCTCTGAATTAGCTTGTTTTTTTTTTTTTTTGGTTTTTTTTTTTTGATATACCTAAAAAAAAAAAAAAGGATTAGG